TCACTTTTCTTCGTTGGTTCCTCACATTGGTACTTCCTACCCACTCTCAAATTCCATCTATTACAATAAAGTTTCTCATAGTCATCGAGCTTTTCTTTCCTCCATTAGTACTAACCATGAACCCAGGACTTTCACATCTGCCATGAAAGATGCTCACTGGAAAGATGCTATGACAGCTGAAATACGGGCTTTAGAAGCTAATCATACATGGATAGTCACTCCCTTACCACCCGATAAGCATGCCATTGGGTGTATAAAATCAAATACAACGCTGATGGGAGCATTGAGCAATACAAAGCTCGACTAGTTGTGAAAGGCTTCACCCAAGCTGAAGGCATAGATTAACATGAGACATTCGCACCCGTTGCCAAACTGGTCACTGTTCGTTGCTTACTTGTCGTTGCAGCTGCACGAAATTGGTCGTTGTTTCAACTCGATGTCAACAATGCCTTTCTCCATGAAGACTTCGCAAAAGAAGTCTACATGCAACTTCCTCCTAGCTTCTCTTATAAAGGGGTGCATAGCGAACATCTAGTTTGTCGGCTAACCAAGTCGTTATATGGCTTGAAACAAGCTTCCAAGAACTGGTTTGCCAAGTTCTCCATTGCTCTTCTTCAGGCCAGCTTCCAACAGTCTCAATGTGATCACTCTATGTTTACCTTGAAGGACAAAGATCGGCCGACTGTTGTCCTCGTTTACATCGACTACATCATCATTACCGGCAATGACTCTTCTAACATCAATTCCATCAAAGCATTTTTGCATAGCAAATTCAAGATCAAATATCTTGGCTCGTTTAAATATTTGTTGGGCATAGAAATCGCCCGATCCCAGGAAAGCATCTTTCAATCTCAAAGAAAGTATACCCTTGGCATTTTAGCCGAATCTGATCTTCTTGGAGCCAAACAAGTGCATTTCCCATGGAACAAAACCTGAAGCTTAACTCCGATGATGGCATTCTCCTTCCAGATCCAGGCTCCTATCGACGTTTTGTTGGAAGGCTTATATACCTAACAATCACAAGACCGGATATCACTTTTTCGGTTAATACCCTCGGTCAATTCATGCAATCACCATGCCAGCCTCACATGGATGCCGCTACCCGCATTCTTCGCTATCTAAATCCCACCTTTGGTTAATATAACCCCTGGTTAATATATTCTTTTGGAAGCTTCAAACAATTTTCAACTATCTGGCTACTTAGATTCCGATTGGGCTAGCTGCTCCATCACTCGTCTCTCAGTTACGGTGACTGCACCTTTCTTGGAAACAACCCCATTTCCTAGCACATCAAAAAAAAGAGTATTGTATCCCGCTCTTCTGCTGAAGTAGAATACCGATCTATAATGACAACTCCTTGTGAACTAATTTGGCTTAAGTATCTCCTTCGTGACTTGGAAATTGCACATGCTCAACCCATGCACCTTTATTGTAATAATCAAGCAATGCTACACATTGCTTCGAATCTAGCCTTCCATGAGTATACCGAGCACATAGAGCTGGATTGTCATGTTATTAGAGAGAAATGACGAGCAGGTCTCATCCAAACTTGTGCTCTCTGCACGAACGATCAACGCGCCGACATTTTTACTAAACCTCTTGGCAAAGAGCAATTTCTATATCTTCATAACAAGTTGCGTGTTCTTGACCCTCACACTCCAACTTGAAGGGGAGTATTACAACTAATATTGACTTTGTCAAGTCATCTGAGAGAAGCCCGGTGCACCTCAGTGTCCTACACGCATATGACTCTCATCTCTCGTTGTAACTGTGTAACTATTTTTTGATTTTTGAATTCCCTTATTCTGTGGGATTCTTGTTATACCATTGCATATTTATACGTTTCCTCTTTGAATAGAAGTCAAGTCAAAGTCAAAATTTATAGATCTAATATTAAGAAAAATATCAGTTCGCATGATTTTTTTAAACTACGCAAATCTCCATCATTTTTACAACAGGCCTTATTTTTTTTTTTTTGAAGATTCAAGTAAATTGATATACTATAAGGACATTGATTTACTGTTAAGTAATTTCAATATATTGGGTCGATAATCCAAGAAAATTGAGAGATTGAGGATGATGTCACACACAGAATTAGAACTGGGTGGATGAAGTGGAAATGTGCACTTGAAATTTGGTGTGATTATCGCATACCAATGAAGCTGAAGGGCTAGTTCTATACGACAACTGTGAGATCAGTTTTGCTCTATGGGGCAGAATCTAGGCAAATAAAAAACAATATATCTATAGAATGAGTGTAGTGGGGGAAGAATGAGTGTAACGGAGATAATAATGTTGAAACGGACGAGTAGTAAGACAATAAGGGATAGAATTCATTCCATAAAATTTAGATGTGGCAATAAGAAGCGATAAGATGAGAGAGTAGACCTAGGTGGGATGGCCATGTGTGGCGCTAATCAAGTAGTAGATGCGAGTTAGTTCAAGTGGAAGGACTGAAAAGGGCAAGGGAGGCTCAAAAAGACATGGTTGGAAGTAATCCAAAAAGATATGGAGATCACTGAGGGTATGACCTTTAATAGAGCATAATGACAGACTATGATTCGTGTATCTGACCTTAATTAATTAGCAAAAAGCTATGCTGATGATGATAATCTATTGTTAAGCAATTTGCTTAAATTTTCCAAATATCCTAAAATAGTTAATCAATTTGCTTGATTTTTTAGGACGGACTTCAATGGGTAAATTCCTAAACCCCATCACCCAAAGTTTGTCTCCACTAAGTCATTTATCTCATATTCCTCTTTGGAACTTGATTTTTTAGTTGAAGGGGCTTATTTTAGAACTGATCTTTTTCATAAATAATAAAGCTGGTTATGATCCCATGATCATAGTGCCAATGTTCCATAGGAGTCATGGATGATAATGGAGGGAGAGTAGGTCCCAAACATGTATTGGATGGTGATGATCACATGACGTTGTTGTTACTAGGTTAGTTAACGGGCTGGGCAAGCCTAGGCCCAAGCCTAGCCCGAAAGAATGAGAGTAGGTCCTGGCCTAGCGATTTGGTTTGAAGTTTCACCCGTATCCATGATAACGAGTACCAAGCCTAGTCCGACTTGGCCAAAAATGAAAACGAGTCTTGCTCAGGCTTAATATAAATAGGGATTGTATATTACGAGACCATTTATTATTGGCACAAGGAGGTCATAATTATTTTTGGACATTAGATATGAAATCCAATAGGTTAAAATGTATTGCAACATTTGAGAAATTTTATTTTAAACTGTGTGCTCAATCAATGGCACATTGTCAACCACCTATTTTCACTTCCAGCAGTAATTAATGAGACCATTTACGGGATACAAATCGGGTCCAACCGGACGGGACCCTAACCTAGACCCAAATAGTATTTGGGTCAAGGTTTTGGACCGGACCCGATCCGTCGGGTCCAAATATTGGATCTATACCTGGACCCGTGTCGGGTATACCCGATAGATCCCAGATCGGGTCTGGGTCCGGGTCCAAGTTCATTGGCACCCCTACATGTAAACATACAGGAGAGACATACGAAAACTCAACTTTCAAAACAAAACAAAAGAAGGAGATCATGGGAAAAGTTGGGGGACAAAGAGAGAGAGGATGGGCCACAAAGTGCACTTTAGCTGGTTCACAAAATTCCTGTTGAGAGGTTCATATTTTAAACATTTTTAGTGGTCTCAAATAATCGATCTCTTTTCTTGCAAAATTAAACCTAATAAAAAGTCGAAACCATGGGGCACACATAATAACATCATTCACATCAATCAATATAAAAAAATCCAATATAGAAACAAGTACATCATGTTGATAGCAATAAGGCTCCTCTATATATTTCCTAGTATGGGAGAAAATTTTGAAATTCTTTTAGAATCTATAGAAATTCATGCGCATATCCCCCTAAAATATTGTTATTAATTTTTATAACTTCTAAATTTACATTCATACCTATTTTTTACTTTTTTTTTTTTCTATTTTGTTTTGCCAAAATGCCCCTATACGGGGATCTTTAAAATCTGAATTCCTATGAAAATTATGGATTTTAAAATTCCAAAGTTCTAACTTATTGGGCATAGAAGACTCACTGTTGGTGAGCCATGGGAACAAAAGGGATTCTGGATTTTTAAAATCTAAAATTCAAGAAAAATTGGATTTTGATTTCGAAACTTCCTCGAGGCCTATTAAGTTCTATGAGCATGTTTTAAAAGATTACATTTTAGTCATGGGTGTGGTTTGTATAGAGCCGAGGCTCTAAACAATGAAAATATAGTGTACCTTCAAATAAATGTGGTTTTAATATTGGAAATTTATTTGATTGTCTTAAGATATATTTTTATCTTTAATTGTAAAATTTAAAGATTCAAAAAGAGTGTAGATCGAGCGGATCTATGAAAAATTTAAAAATCTTGTAAATTGACAGTCAAATAATGCATTATAAGATGCATTATTTCAAAACTTGAAATCTATTTTTTTCTCTTGTCCATGCATTTAAGGATATTTTGATATCAAAACAACCTCTTGTAATGAAATTTTTGAGGGAAGCTCTAATTTGATTGTTTAGAGCTTGGACTCTATAGAACCTTTTTCCTTTTTAAATTTAGGGTGTTGTTTGTGTAGAGCCTAGGCTCTAAACCATCAAATTAGAGCCTACCTTCAAATAGTATCGAGAAATATAGTTTCAATACTAGAAATCGTTGTGATAGCGTTAAAATATATTTTTACATTTATTTATAAAGTTTAAAGCTTAAAACATAATGTAGATCATCATATCTATGAAAACTTGAAAATATTAAAAATTAACGATCAAAAAATACGTTACAAAATATACTATTTTAACACTTCAAATCTATCTTTTTTTATCATGTTTATGCATCTTGATGTCGAGATGAATTTAAAGACATTTAGACATAAAAAAAACCTCTTCAAATGAAATTTTTGAGGTATGCTCAAATTTGATTGTTCCGAGCCTCAGCTCTATATAAATTTTTCCCTTTAATTTATCATCGGATTTTTCCAACCTTATCCACGTTGCGCGTATAACTGTTCAGTTTCGCTCTATTTTCTCTCTGTTCCTCTCAATTTATCTCTCTTCGAATTTTCCGAGAAAAGCTTGGTGGCTCCATCTTGATGGCGTTTCTCTTCACGAGACCGGACCCTAGCTACCACAAATTTCTCCACATAAAGCCTTTTTTCCCTTCTCAAAACCCTAAATTTGTATCGAGCTGTCCGAGAAACCCCAAATTTCTCTCTGCCTCACTCTCTCCGCCATTGAAGCAGACATTCACTTCTTCTCGGAGCATTTGTCTTCGTTCCCGATCCTCTGATTCTTCTATTTGGAAATGTCGGAGTGAAAGGTCGGAGATTTCGCCAGAATATGAGAATTCTGGCCATGGATCGCTGGATGCAGGCAGTGGATTGCCTGAATCTGGCTGGGACTTGCAGGCCATGGCTGCTAAAATGGGGGATCCATTTTTACAGGCAGCGAGGAGTGCTAGTAAGTGGTTTCATGATTATTTTGAGAAGCAGAGGAATTCATCAATGGAGGTTGTGAATACTGAAAAGGAGGATTGTGGGGATTGGGATTGGGAGAGGTGGAAGAGGCATTTCAAGGAAGTGGAGGAGCAGGAGAAGCTGGTATCCGTTTTGAAGGTAATTCGTGTTTATTCTGGCCATGCATCTCTCGCTCACCTCTATCTATTTTTCTTTCCTTTCTTGAAATGCATACTAGCCGTACGCTTGGTAGGGCGCTAATTATGAATTATGGTGCCTTATATAATCAGCAAGAATTATGTATCTGTGGTCCCTTTGGGCGAATTCCAATAGGAGTTTAATTTTGTCTTAGAAGATACGTACCTTGGAAGGGTACTTAGATGGGATCAAATTTTCAGAAAATCGATCCCTCTTGATTAGGATTGAATTATTTTTGGGTATCAAGTTGTATCCATGTGTATATGATTCATTCTATAGATTGATACTGGGAACAAGAAAAAGTTAATTGATACTGGGAACAAGAAAAGGTACATTGATATTGGGAACAAGAAAAAGTACATTCTCAAGATGAGCTAGATGGTCGTGGGTGGATAAGGGCATAAGGCCTCCATAAAGCACTTTTGGTCTACCAAAAAGCTATTGCTCGATTTACTCTCCTGTTGGTTTTATATGTCGTTTTAAGACGACCCATTGAAAAATATTTACCGCAGAATGGCATCCTTATCAAGTAGCCATGGTATCTCTTTAGGAGAATTTTTTATCACAAGGAAATGGTGATAGTGATCCTATTAAACTAGAACTGTCATTGTAGGGGCTAGAGATTTTTCTAGAAGTAGAACAGACTCTGTCTCCTTAGAAAGGTCATAAATTAAGGACCCAGACATCCTTTCAATCCTTACTAGAATTTATGGGGAAAAAATATAATGTACCATAGTCTTATGTTTGGTGAAGAAAGAAAAAAAGAAACAAGTCATAAACCTTCCTTCCTCTTGTCTCTGTAGCCAGGAGATAAGTCACATTGGTTCATTTTCATATGTTTTAAATTCATTCCTAAAGACAACCTCTGAAGTCATACTCTGTTTGACAGGCCAAGTGAAAGCTGACTTGGCACGCGACTTGGCACGCAACTTGTGCTTACCAGTTTTGCAAGTGTTTATAGACTACGGAAGTCTTTTCTGAAAATTTGAGAAATCCTAAAAGTGAAAGTTGCCCTGTTCAAAATAATTGGTTGAGCTTTCTTGGTAAAACTAGTGTCCAAAAGCTGAAACTCGCTTGAATTGATTTATCTTAGGTGAGTCAAGTTTGATTCAGTAGTCCTTCTTTTTTCTTCTTTTTGGACCAGCATTTTGTGAGCTTTGCTTTTATTCCTCCAACTAAGGCAATGAAACCTTAGCATTTGTCAACAATCTGAGTATTGGATGTCCTGTTGCAGTATATCAGATTGGTTTTGTTGGAGAATTTACCTATTTTCAACTATTCCAACTCATGAACTTGTGTATTTTGATGGGATTTTTGAAATATGGTCAAATGATATGGGTGAAATGTTCAATTGACTTAGGTGTATTTCGATAAATTTCCCTTTTGTAAGATTTATGATTGCTGCATTCTTGATCTAATTATATATGATGGTGTAGGGGTTGAAGTTTTGTGTGGCCCAATAAGGGTTGAGATCCTATTGTGTATTCCATCTCCTGAGAGCATACCAAAATGCACCTCCTGGATTTTTTCGGATGTTATTACAATTCTTCAATGTACCCGCACATTCAACGAAAAAATAAAAAGTCTTCTATGCACCCTGGGTCGATCGTGGATGTACCTTTCCTTTACAGACTTGAATTTCGAAAAGTTTACAAAATCACTGTAGCTAGTAAAAGGAATGTTTTATGGGTGTTATTTTCTTTTCTCGAGAATTGCTTCAATCAGTATGGTATGAAGTTGCAAACTAGCATCTATCGTGTCCTCTCTTGCATTGAAGTGTTCTTTTGCTTTAGTGCATAGGCAAAATTTACCTCCTCACCATGTGTCCGATAGTATCGTTCTAGAATGTCTTCTGGGCATTTTGGTATGTTAATCCTATATGTGACATTGCATATTGGCTAGAGTTTGAAAAGGTTTGGGCATTTGCTATAATTAAAAATGGGAGTGCTTTTATGAATTGTCCGTTTTCTTGTCTTTTTTTAAAATGATTTCCAATGTGTACTGCATGTAATTGTAAATGAAACATCTACCAAGAATTTCTCGAATTTGAATTCTTTTGAGCAGGCACAACTTAGAGATGCAGTTCAGAGAGAGGATTACAATGAGGCTGCTAAACTTAAAGTGGCAATTGCTGCTGCAGCGGTTAATGACACTGTCGGCAGAGTGTTATCTCGTCTAAATGTAAGAGACTTTTTTACTTTTATACTCTTCTTGCATTATCTGTTTAACAGTAATGTTAAACTAAACTCATTTACGCTTCCAGAAAGCATTGAAAGAAGAGCGTTATGAGGATGCTGCTTTTATTCGAGACAATGCTGGTGCTGGATTGGTAAGTTTACTGAAGGGATCTTGAATATGCACTGTTCTGGGGAAAAGTTGTTTCAGTTATCTGCACTGAATTTCATTCATTAAATATTTTTGGATGGGCATGAAATGAAAGGGAAGTCCATATTCCTATATAATATATAATGCTCCAAAGTCCAAAGGGCTTCCCCCATCCATTGTCATAGACATATGGATGATAATTCACTATATCTGGATAAATGTTATGATGCGTCCCACAGCCATCAATCTCCACTGTCCATAAACTGGAAAGCATGGTGGATGCCCATTGGAGTAAGGTGCACTATACTCCTGGCTTATGGTATAACCTCCCTACTCTGAATGCATCACTAAGTGCTTTGTTTGTTTCTTCAATTGGGCATCTTACTTTCATCAATAATGGTGGGTTAATCTTATTTTGTATCCTGCCTTTATTCTGAATTGGAACAGAAAGATTTGATGATGAAATTCAGTATTAGAAAACATGGACTGGGGTCAGAACACAGAGGGGTCCTGAATCTGAGTCATTTTGACTGACTCGGCCTAGTTTGTTAGAGACTCGACTGAGTCTGTCCAAAAGAGTTATGAAGTAATGGTTCCCATGTGTATGGTTTTGGGCTCCGAACCTTGCATGCCTGAGTGGCTTTGGCGAGTCCAGTTGGACTGATCTGAATTTTCAAATTCTGATGAAAATGTTTTATTTTAAACTTCAAAGTTGCAGTTCCCATGCACATATAGTTCTCAATTGTTCATATGAACATTTATGCATTAGTTTCAACTCCTTTGCTGTCTTGAAAGGCTTGGTGCACATATAAATCTCTGAAGGTTTAATATGATTTGTCTTACAAAAAATAGCTGAACATAACTGTATGGACTGATAAAAACAGTATTCGAAAACTCAGCTGAGTCATCTCTGATTCAGCTGAGTTACTTGGCCGCAGCTGGTAGCTGAGGTGAGTTCCGATCTGCCTGCTCCGGTATATGGGAAAGCATACATACTCTGACCAGTACTGTTCATAAAAAAGGGGGGCCTCCTTGTTTCACTTTTCTCTCTAAATGGGGGGCCAGAAATCTGCCGCCTTTTTTCATATCTCTCTTTTCTCTAAATGGGGGAGAAATCTGCTTCCTTTTTCATTATCTCTCTCTCTCTTTAAAAGGGGATTGGAAATGCACCTCCTGTTTCATCTCTCTTTCTTTCTAAAAGGGGGCACAAATCTGCCATCCTTTTCATCTCTCTCTCTCTCTAAAAGGGGGCAAGAAATCTGGCCGAAATCTGCCTGTTTTCATTTCTCTTCGCTATCCAGCAGAGTTTCTCTCTCTGTTCAAATGCATTCTCTCTCTCTCTATCTCTCCTCTCAAATTCTCTCTCCCCCCAACCCCCCCCCCCCACCACCACACACACACTACTATATACTATACTTACTTTCTTTTACTTTTACTTTTTACTTTTTTACTTTTTTTATTTTATTTACTTA